TTCCTCTCACAAAAACACCAGAAGTGACCAGTAGTTAGTGTGCAGATCTCAGTACTGCCATGACCTCTTAGCTGAGAGACAGCAGACTTCTAAGCACTCCTAGCAAGCCCTGATATCTGCATCTCTTCTCCAAAACAGATCCTGAGAAAGTAACACGGACACACGGGCTCCTTAGTGAGATTCTATTTTTACTTATGTTTTTAAATATAGTAAACCAAGCACAAATACAAGAAACTTCAAAAATCTGATAGGAAAGACTGGAGCTTCCCTAAGTCTCGTTCCAACAGCGCATCACAGAAGATCTTGGAACAAGATAGAGTGATGTCATGAGAAAGAAGCAGTAGGAATTACAGACAAGAGGAATGAACAGCCCGCAAGGTATTTTCTGATCTTAAGTCTTTTGAAAATAGAGTTGGCAACATATTTGAGAGGTTGCTACACAGGGAAGGATATCAAACATGAGATGAACAATCACGCGAGGAAAAGTAGTTCCAGACGCTTTAGGCCAGTTCTTTGACTTCGTAAGCCATAGTCACAAAAGACTGTGAGAGGCTTAAGCATGCAGAGAAAGCATCCAAAAAATGAACTGTCAGACTAGAACATTTATCTGTCAGAGGCTGATACAAAATATAAGAAGAAAATAAGACAAAGCATCACTCTGGAAAGGCTTTTAAAACCCAAATGCAAATATCTAAAAGGCTGAAGTAGTGATAACTGATGCAAGGGCATAGCTAAAACAAAAACTGAGTGTCCTGGCTTCTAAGTTTCAGTACCATACAAGCAAATGGTACCTGGAATGGCTGGACTTGAGTCCGAAGCTGATTGTACAGCTAAGGATTTGGCAACTATGCTTTCCATAGCTTTTGTCTCCTCTTCTTTTTCCCCTATTGCCCCTCTCCTGTTTTAATGCGCAGATGAAAAACAAAGCACAACAGGAATTAACTGAAAATGTTACATGTTAAAATATCTCCAGAGTAAGCGTCTTATGTGGACACTGGTACAGCCTTGAGTACATGTTAATTACCCCATATGGAAGGAGTTTTCTGTCCCTTTAGCAGGAAATATTTGTACTAATATGATTACTAATTATGTTCTAAAATGACTCACCAAATGAATGAAACGTTAAAAATTTTGCCAACTCAAGCAAACCACAGAAATAATAAATCAGCTTATTTTTAAAGTTAATCATCAAGTCTGGAAGAAAAGCTTCAAGACTTCTAATCATCCCTTTCAAGGTATCAGTGGATGTGAAGAAGATAATTCTACTAAGAACAAAGTAACAGATAAAGATAACGTACCGTTACTAACTTGCTTGAGCTTTAACACTTAAAGTGTTACAAAATTAATATACTGTGCAAACTAAAAAAAACACCTAACATTTCAACCAGGAACCCCCTAATCTATGCTTGTTCCCAATCTTAACTCTGCTATCTCCCCACTGCATAAAATGAAAGCGCTGTAGAAAACTAGCATATGTCTATGATTACATTTTACTGTGTTGCACAGCTGTAACGTAGATAACACAAAGTTATCATTTAATCTAACCTTCTTCGTATCACAATGCCACAGGGACTCCTTGAACTCCTGTCCGAACTAAAGTATCCCATTTGGGAAGGCAACCTACCTTGTTCAGAAAGGTAAGCTGTTTCATAGATCCATACCTTTAGTTAGAAATATTCATACCCGATTCCTGCCCTGAATCTGTCCTCAGGTGCCAGCACTGAACTTGGTACATTTGTATGCAACAGAAGGAAGAGTCCTCTCACCTCAAATCTTTATTTCTATATAGATGTTTAAAGCAGTCCATTCACATGCTAGCCTTCTATATTAAACTTATATTGGAGGGCTTAAGCCCTCCAAGTCTTTGGTTGCAGTTTCAGCTCTTGCTCCTTCCAATTCTCTATGGTTTACTGCCAAAATGGAAGGTGCTGCTTTTCCCACCTATCTCAAGCTTGCTTTCTTTGTCCTTTGTGCAGGGTCTGGCAATTGTACTCCAAGTTGGATGCAATCACTAATCAGCAGAAAAATTGTCTACAGAACCTTAAGAACGACGTTCCACAAATCTCAGATGCTTGAATTCAGCAGAATAGAGAAGTTTAGCTACTTTTATTAGGTAAACATTTGAAACTAAAAAAAAAAAAATGGTTAGAGCTCTGCATCATCAGCATTTCAGCATCAATCTCCACTACTTAAATAATACTAGGTCATAACAGGAACAAATTAGAGAGAGGAATGGAGAAACTACTGCAAAAACCGACTGTTCAGTGGAACTCTTGGAAACTAAGAGATTTCTTACTTTACGAGGGAAGAACCAGAACAGCAAATTATTTTTTTCACAGCTATTCCAAAGCACCCAGACTATAAAAAAAGAATAGACTGTCCTTGTTGCTTCAGACAAATGACCCAGATCAAATGCAAGTATTTATGTCGCCCTTTTTTTGTCATCATCTTCCTCCCACCCCTCCAAGTATTTTTTTTCCAAGATGAAGCACTGCTAAAAACCGAAGGCGCTATCTCCCACAGTCTTTGCTTAATGAAATTTCATTTAGTTTTGCTAAGAGGTGTTTTGCAACACTACATCCTTCTAGCATGATTTTTCATTCATTGTCTCTAAATTCTAGTAATTAGTTCCAGGCCACTCTCCCATTTTAAACCCTCCATTCATTACCAAAAGGACTTTGTCCACCACGAGTCATTCACACAGGGAAACATTAAGTTCTATTGAGTACAGGAAAACACCTTAAAAAAGGCCTTGCAGCAGCTGCCTAGCTATTCTCTGATGTGAACTCATAAATGGTATATGGCACTCTGTCCACACAAGCTTGGGCCAGCAGTCACTGAAGGAACATCGAAAGCTGTTTATCTGACATAACTACTATACATTAGGTTACAAAGTTTTCTCTATATGAAAGTAGAGCCTCAGATTGTTAGCTCCAAATAACTATCCACTGAGATGATGTACTGGCCTCCACGCTCCATAGTCATGCCTGAATTTCCTTCTTCAGAGCGCTCATTAGGACAAACTCTGTAATTTATCAATAGTCGAAACAACTCCCCCATTCTCTATATGGGAGAGAGTTACTGAAGATTTCAGACAATGCACGTCTGAAGTATGTTATAGTGAGTAATTTCACCATCTAGCCCTCCTGTCACCTTCCCATTCCCAAAGAAACTTAAATCTCTGTGAGATTTTTTGTGATCTGATCAGCTCTAGCAATTCAGTATACATATTGAAACTATTTTAAGCATGGAGTAGAGAAATAAACAGAAACAGAAATTAGTGCTTTGAATGTTACTAGAAACATTAAGCTTTCCCAGGGAGGTAGCTTAAAAGAATTAGCACCTAGCTCCATACTGCAAATTCAAAGTGAACTGGTTTTGAAAAGAAAGTAAGTAAACTTAATTTTTGTATGCTGATTCTGATCAGTTTGAACTGGCAGCTTAAAAAAAAAAAAAAATCAAACTCTGAATATTAAGAATCACAGACTCAGTGGCATTACTGATTTTATGGCACACTATTCTCACAGGCCCAATCTCAATAACTCCCCCACTCCAACCATAACAACTATTTCTCCCTCCTCTGCCTGCTACATTCCTCTCTCCCTTAGAGAGAACAACCTCTCCTCTGCAGTTGTTTAACAGATTAACATATTAAATTCTGAATAACTGTCTTCAACCTGTGCTGAGCTTGAAGTTTGCTACCTCTATCAGACCTCAAGACCTGTGCGATCAATACTTTGCTTTTCTCCAGCTATGTCAGCCAGCCTGATAAAAGCTGTTTCTCCCTTCTTTATCCTGCTTACAGCCTGAAATAATCACAGTAACAGTATTACTACTCTGAAGCTGGCATCAGGACAAGGTTTTCAGAGAAAACTAGTTTCACAGCCTCCTGAAAAGAGGCACTAACAAACAATTTCATTAATTACCAAACCTCTGACTGTCACAGGCTCAGAGGGGAAACTGCAAGGCTTGAAGTATTAAACAATCCTATCAGCCTGAAGACTTCTAGCCAAATACAATAGGTATACCTCATTTCCTAAAACGTAGCCCCACCTCTAAATTTTAGTACGATACATATCGGTCTACTTGCAAAAGCAGTGTTATGCGTTTGTACCTTTTGCTGCATCATAAAGAAAGGGACAAAAGGGAGAGAAGTTCTGATTCTGTAACAGGAGTACACATTTATTTCTTCTCCTTCCTCTCTTCCCTCTGTATCTACTCTCTCTTCTTCTATCTTACTCTACAAAATCTATTATAATGAACATCACTCTTTACAGAGCAGTACCTGATTCTCTGATGATGTCTGAAGCCCCCAAATTTCACTTTCATTCTTTACCATTCTGAAATACTCATCTAGCTATTATGTTCCTCAGTTTACCTCTTGAAAGGGAGAAATCAAATACAGCACCACTCCCAGCTCCCTCTCAGCCTCACCTAAACCTGCTCAAATTCCTCTGTCAGATTCTCCAACCTGAAGAAAAGGCTTTCACTTTACAAGCCACAGAAAAGCCTATCCTGCAGCTCAAGAAGTATCACCAGGGAGAGAGTCAGGAGCCTCTGCCCTCAACACATGAATGATACTACACAAAAACAACACTTCAGTAAACTACATCACTTCTTAGCCAACTAGAACTGGAAATTCCCTATTGCATCTGAAAGACTATGTATTTACTAGGAAGTACCAAGCCTAGGAGGTAACAGAATGGATCAAAAATATACAAAGCGCAACAGCAACTATCCTCTAAAAACTGTTCTGTTTCCACAGGGCGCTTCTGGTGGAAGCTGAGACAAGGGAATAGTCTAAGAACAAGGCACGGCTCCTGCAGAAAATTTAGGTCTGTAAGTGTCCATTACAAGACTGAATATGTGACTGTAATGTTCTGGATGCATAATATGAAAACAAGTGCTGTTCATTATTTAGTCTTAAAGTAGGTTTGTTTGACAGGACACGAAGAACAAGAGGCAGAAGCAGCCTCTGTGTAACTGTCTGAAGGGGGTACCTGTTGCTCCATTAGAACTGAGATGGGAATTTCTCCTCTTCCCACTCCATGAAGCTGCCTCTTATATTTCACGCAGCTTTCCCTGCAGACATGTGTGGAACACTGCACTGATGCTCTCATTCCAATTGCCATAGCTGAGAAATACAAGATACTATTATACAATCATCTAAACATGAGCCTGGAACATTTTTTCAAATCCAAGATTACACAAATGAAAAAACTGCATGTAACAAATGCACACAGTTTGAGACGTTCCCAACTAATTTCAAAGCAACCAACTACAAAAGAGATACAAGATAAATGCTGGGAAAGTAGTTTACTACTTGAACACGAAAACATATTTTTTTCTCGTTTGTCACTACCCTTCTAGTATCGTCTATTTGAGGAAGACAGAAACCAGCAAGCAGCACAGAACATCCTCAGTCAAATGCAAGTACAAATTCATTGCCCCTTTAAAGAACTTTTAACACATACATAACTTCACATTCAAAACCTACAAAAGGATATCCTGTGAAGTCCCAATTCTATCTCGGCTGTACCAAAATATCATTTTCATTTTAAAAAGTTTTCAAAACACTTGAACATAACCACTGCAAAGCTGTCAATCTGAGTCTGCAGAGACTCTAAAACAGTAGCTGTCAGATGCTAAACGGTCCACATGTTCTGACCTATATTACTATTACACTATTACACTTTTCATATCAACATTAAATCTCAAACACTGAAAATCATAGAAAGCACATACAAAACAAATTAAGTGTACTGTATAGATCTATACCAGTATTCCCACCACAGCACTTGGGCACGCTCAGTGGGAAAAGGGAAAATGTAAACATATACTTTAAAATTGGTTCCTCGGTGACAAGTGCCATTTCTATAGGATGTGTCTTTCGTTTTCCTGAAAAAGAAAATAGCCTACCCACTTTTGGAAAATGCGGATCTAGTAACTCTAGCTGACTGGAGTAAGCTGATCCAAAAAGGACAGAAGCAACAGTAGCATGGGAATCCTCAGTGCACCATGATGCTGACTAATTGCAAGCCTTAAAAGATGACACCCTTTGACTGCTGAGGAACAGCATGATGAGAAGCAGTTGGGACCTTGTGCAAGCCAGATTTGTCTGGAAAAATACTCCTTTCAAAAACAGCCCTTGAGATGAAATTACATAGCTCTCTGTAAAGTGATAGATCACCTCTTGGAAGACACCAGGCTGACTGTAAGCCTGACAAACTGTCTCTCAAAAAAGCCTTCGACCAGCAAGTAAATTGGCAGACAAAAATAGGTATTGGTCTTGCATGTAAACAAAGTGGCCCTGAGCTTCAGGGCGTGTGGAAAGCAAATGGCAGTCTAAAGATCACCACCTAGAATTATTTAACAAAAAAAAAAAAAAAATTACTGCTATGCTGCAAAACACAGGATTTTGTTGCAGCAACAAGCTTGGGATAGATTAAGCTTTTACAACACTAGATAAATTTACAAAGTTATTTATATTCTGTTCTTCTGCCAATAACTGCAAAACAATTAAGAGAACTTCTGAGAGAACACAGTATCTAATCCCCTACAATAGTCATATGAGGTAGTCTTCTATGCACTAGCAACACCGAATATATTCAATAGCCGCACACCTGACATTATTGCTGACCTTGCAGAGTGCAGTCTTCAAAGTGTATTTTGAGAAAATTTGAACTGTAGAACAGTATACGGAAGATGAAAGGTTTAGAAGCACACCTAGGTAGACACAAAGCACACTCGTAAGACCTCTCAAGTATAAGCATGATGTACCGTTTAGGTTTACAGAAGGAAACTATGACTACACGAAGCTAGCTCAATTACAAGGACAGTAAATAGAAAGATAGATATGCACACTTCCATACAGATGTGGAGATGCAGAAATGGCATACATTTTAAAGAGCTCTTAATCAGGTACAGTAAAAGCCAGTAGTCATCCTTCTAAGAATCTCAAAATTTCAAGATCTGAACTGAAATTAATCATTTACTGGTGGGTACAAGCACTTACTTCTTCCTTGTGTATCTACTACTAAAGCTCAAATGAATATGACGATAGAAATGATGTGAAAAGAAATACTGCAGGGAACTTGGGACTTTGAAAGAAGATCAGTGGAGCTACATACAGCAATACCAGCCAAAAAGGAAATGCTTTCTCAGTTTTCCTATAAGGAGGAAAAGGAAAAAGCTCCTCAGCAGGTAAGACTTCATTGTCTGGCAAAAGAAAAAGAGAAGGAAAGGAAATAAGAGATTTGATAATTCAGATCCTTTCAGCATATGTAACCCTGAGCTTTCTCAAGTTACAAAATGTCAACTGCATTGACATGATTTTCAAGTTCAAGAAATACTTAGCTCCATTTTACCTTTATCAAGCCTAATTCAGAAGTTAGATTTCATTAAAATGTACAAGAGTGCAATAAAAGAAAAGGCCCAAACTCAAGTTATTCTTCCAGGTTTCCTTAATACCAGGTGAAGAACAGAACTACTGCACCTGAAGACAATCTGCAGAAACAAACCCTCTCAAGACAGCCTATTTCCTGGTCCTCGATATTCATACAGTTCCATCAATCAAAATAAAAATCTAGGTCATCAGTATTTTCAGCCAAGATGCAGGAAAAACAGCACATCTTAGGAACCAAAGATTTTCAGTGAATTATGCAGAACACTTGGCAAAGCTTCTGACAGACACTTCTGATGGGACTTTAATCCCCTTCTCCCCACCTCCCCCTAGCATCAGTTCATTCCAGGTTGAATACCTTTTTCAGATACCCTGAAGTCAAAGGAAGAAGGGCAAAGTAGTTCTTGTCTGCCTGAGGAGAATCTTGGACTGACAGAATTTGTTAGAGACTATATACACTATTCTGAACTGGACTGTATCACATCCATCCACCCATATTCAGGAAAAAACAAATCCATCACGCAGGATTTGCTTAGTGTCAAGAAAGATAGATTCTCAGAATTAGGATCTTAGCCAGAGTGTCACGGATCGGTCCTGTAACTTTTTCCTCCTTTTCCCCTGTACCCTTCAGGGGCACTAATCCTGTCAGATCTGTAACTTTCAAAGGTCTGAGTCTAAAGGGAAGGCATCTTCTGTGCAACTCCTTCAGCAGTTTCAAAGTAGCAGCATCTGTTACTCCAACAACTAGAATAACTCGGATCCATTCTTAAAAGACACCTCCTTCTTCAAATCTGTTCTTACTCACACCCCTTATAATCTCTCCAAACCTCAGAGCATTTGTTTGAGAAGAAATGTCTCCTCCACCAAGCTCAGCCTCAAAGATACTGCCACATGGTCTTCATGGTAGCAAAATTCAAACGGCAGCAAGAGCAGAATCCAAAAGAAGTGGATCCAAAGTGGATCCGTAAAGGACATGTCCAAGTACCACAGGAAAAGGATGATCTGAAAAAGCTACATGATAAAACGACCAAAATAGTGAGCTACGAAAAATTCATGAGGCAAAGCAGCAAAACATCTCTTATATTGGAAGCCAGGAACCAAGCTGGCAAACAAAAAAGAAAGTTATTGTAAAATATATTGGTATTCTGTTGTCTTTAAATGGATAGCTTATGATCTCTAACTGCAGAGACATATTCTGCAGTTACATAGTTGCCCCTTATCAATTTATCTGTTCTTAGACCACATTAAAACTGAAAGGCAGCTCAGCATAAAATCAATTGACATTGCAGATGCTAGCTGAGACAAAGAGACCGCTTAAGATTTTTGTTTCTGGGAAAACTCTTTGCTTAAACTTCAGAAGATGCGAATAACAACTCAAAAGATAGGGAAGGGATTCCCAAGGGTTGGGGTTCCACAGTTCTTTGAAAAGAAAGGACCGCAGGGAGGGAGCACCACCCAGCGCTCAGAGCATCTGCCGAGGAGAAAAGAGGGGGCTCAGTCAGCCCACTTGCACACAGGATGAGACACATCCTTGCCCCTGGGAACATCCAACTCACTTTTGTGAGCAGTGGACTAAGAAGGCCAAGAAGCAGAAACAAAGCCAAACTTTTCCACAGGGAACAGTTAAGAACCTGTAAATATTTACACTGGAGGACCAGAAGGTTTTATACAGGTAACAAAAGGATATTTCAACAACAACAACAAAAAAATCCAAGATAGTTTTATACAGGCTGGGTTTTTCAGGCATTTCAAAGGGATACTTGACTCTGATATGTTCCCTACTCCCTCCCTGGGACGCTTTCCAGAGTGACTTTGCTCATCTGCTATTGGAAACACCTCAGACTGTCCATGAGCAATGAAACCCAACATTCTTGGCTTTTTCATCCACTTAGCGCTTCAATGTCTTCTAGCACTTTGCTAGTTAGCCACTGCTAGCAAGTTACACGTAAGCCTGAGAAAGCCTGGTTTCACCACTAAAAGTCAGTCCTAGGCAAGGACTTGTGTGCCACATCCCCGTGTGAATATAACGGAAAGCTTATAGCTCAAGGACAGTAAGGAAACAACTAGATCTTTGCACCAATTTTACTATGCGCTCACTAGCGAGAGTCTTCTACTGAATTTTTCAGCCATTACCTCCTGTCACTGGTATGCAACAGACATACTGAAACATAAGTTATATCTAAATTAATTTCTATAGAAGCATTTTCTTTCAGCTCTCAATTCCCTTTGATGAGACAGAAGTCATATCCAAAAAAATCAACACTCCAGGCATGATGGCAGGGGAAACAGCTGAAGAGGCAAGTATGCTGACTTGGCAGTGAAATAAGAGAAAAAATTCTCATCAGACCTGGAAACGGAACAAAAGGAAAAGGCCAGAAGGAAGAAAAGTATCAAAAATAAATTTGAATGCTCACAGAATGTTTTACCTCATTTCTAGCAACTGGGAGGCTGGGGTACTAACCCTATGCACCACAAAGTGATAGTATGCTAAAACAACATTCTCATGTTTGCAGGAAAATTCACATAGCGAGTTTTCCAACAAGATTTATCTAAAAAGATGGGAAGAATCTCTTTCCACTGACATATCACACTACTAGAATTCAAGCAAACTTAGCCTAGGTACAACAACAGTTTGAATTTGTTTCATATGACTTACATGACACCTTGCAGGACTTTCTGGGGATCGAGGTCAAATAATCTGTCAACATAGTGGCGGCTACTGGCCGTTACTTCCTGCAGAGAAATAAAAATATATATATATATTTTTTTTAATAATTTACATCAACTCATATAATGGCAGACAAAAAGGAATGACTAAAAAAGCAGCAAGTCTACAAAACCTACCAGGCAAGATATCAGCAAAAACACAGAATCATATTTACGTGCAGTATGTTACTGCTGGGCAACACCCACACAAGGAATTAACCTTGTGTTTAAATGTGATTTAAAGAATAAGATTTACCTAAATGTGGATATCCATGTTATGAGTCAAAGCAAGTTAATGGAGCACCTCCACGTATTTAAATATTTATGAATAGGTCATGCAAGAAGGGGTCTACTTGAGGCATCAGTCCTGTCTTCACTTCAATTTTATTGTGTGTAATTACTACATAAGCAGAAAATCCCTTACAGAAAAAGTTCTTAAGAACAGTTAACGTTGCTCAAGAAGCATACCCACAAGCGAACTCTCAAAAATAAGGAAGCTTGTATTGAGACATTTTTCTGAAACTTACCTTATTGGAAATATTTACATGTTTCAGAGACTCGGTCCTTCTATAAACTGGTCCCCACAATTCCAACACAGACAGCAGCACAACACCCTCCATAACATTCCCCTAGCTACTCTATAACACAAAGTGAACTAACTCTCCTCTCAGCAACAGGACCGTGCTTGCAAGTTAAACGCTTATGCACCAGTGATCTGTCATTCTCTCTGAGAAGCTCCAAAGTTGGAGAAGGAAAGCATTCCAGAAGAGAAGGGTGGGAAAAGGCAAGGGAATTTTCCCTCCAGGTTCTCATGAACACGTGCCAGAGCGCCTCTCCGCTGTCTCAGTTCTTTTTGCCTGCTCAACCTTCTACGAGCCTTCTCCTGTTTTCCCCTTACGAGTTTTCCTTGAAAGGAGCTATAAGGAAGCTGTAAAGTCCTCCTCGCTTTCGGGAGCATCTACACTTGGACTAAGCCTGCTCCTGCCTCCCCCTCCAGATGCTGGAGGTGCCAGCAGCTTCTTGCCTGTAGTCCCACACAAGTCTGAGAGAAAAAGAATCATCTAGAGACTGCAGGCGTCTTGCCTCCAAGAGTACTACTACGTTCTGCCAAATAAATTTGCTTTCAGTTCAGCTTTCACCACGTAACCAAGGACAGCGTTTTTGAGAACAGCAGCGGGCTTTCACCTGCCAGGTCTATATGTTTATACGCAAAAAAAATATTTTGGACTTCAGACCTCCTGCTTCTAACACATCCCGGCTTTCACCCTACTGACTATTAGATCTGTAGCCTGGTGAAGAAGGTCGGTCATATGCAGCCAAAGAAGTTTTTCCAAAAAAAAAAAAAAAGTATCGGGGAAAAAAGAAATTTATTGACGTTATCATAGTCTCAGGGTCCTCTTAGCTAGCAGCAAACCGCAGCCAGAGAAGCCCTTAAGCTCTCTGAGGAGCAGCCACGCTGCAGCCCTGGG